AGCCAGAACCAGGGCTTTAAAACAAAAGGAGTTTGTCTCCTGCCCACTCCGCTCCGGAGCCGGGATGCTGGGACTCGGGGGCTCGGCCGCGCTCCCTCCACGGGCTCCAGGGAGGCTCCTTCCCGCCTCTCCCGGCTCCCGGGGGCTCCAGGTCCCCGGCTTGTGGCGCAGCCTCACTCCGCCCTCTGCCTCCTCCGTCTGCCTCACCGTGGCTTCTCCTCGCGTCTGCGTCCCTCTGCGTCTCTCAGGGACACCTGTCGTTGCATTTAGGGCCCTCCCTCATCCAGACGGTTCGTCTTGAGACCGTCACTTAATTACATCTCAATGACCCTTTTCCAAATAAGTTCAGGGGAAGAAAAAGAGAACACAAACAAAGCCTTTGCCTTTTTTTCCTGCCCTCTTAGGTTCATGACTGGGCCTGCTAATTAAATGGACAAAAAGACCAGATTAACAGGGGGGGAAAGATTGAGTTGTGTGCCCTCACATAAAAAAGAAAAGTGGAATTCCAAACAGAAGTGAGCCTCATAGATCATTTCAACAAAGGGCAGTGAAGTGGGAAGGAGGCTAGACAAAGAGAAAGGCTGTTTGTGCTTGGACGGGGGTCAGTTGGGGGAAATACGGGTATCTGAGGTTGTCTATAACTCCTTGGGCACGGTGCTCACGGCCACCACAAACCTCGCCCACGGCCGGCACTCGCAGTCCGCACGGCGGCTGTGCGTGCATGGACGACCGTCCGTCTTGCTCTTGTGTGATGAGGGAAGCTTGGAAGCACCGGAAGCTTGTTTCACTTTACAGGCAGCAGCTTTGCTTGTCATGTAAATATCAGAACAGGTAACACAGACCATGCATGTTTTCATGACGTTGTTTTTAAATGCTCCCAATTTTATTTCTGGTAAGTGAAAATTAGAAAAGTCATATCACGGCTGTCGCTAAAGGCGCCGTGCGTGTCATCTGTGGTGTCGACTATAGTGGATGCCGGGCTGTGCACGTTCATCCTGTGCTGTGGACTAAGTCACGCCGCTGTGCACTTCATCCTGTGGCTGTCGACTATAGTGGATGCTGGTGTGCACAGTTCATCTGTGGCTGTCCACTACAGGTCGACGGAGGGC